TTTTACACCATTGAAAATTCATCCACTTATCTACTTGTTTTCAAGGTTTCTTTTTCTTTCTCTTCATGTTTTAATTTCAGTTTTATGAATTAAAAACAATCTCTTTGTTCCCATAAAACTTTATTGAAATTATTATCTTTATACACATCACAATCCCATATAATGATGATAATGGTGATGATGATGAATCTAATAGGTGTGTGTGTATTAGTTTGTTTATGCTATAAGAAAAACCATATCATTGATATAATAACAAAAATCTGGAAATGAATTCAATTCTTTGACGCCTATTTACCATTATTTATGTTGTATATAAACACAATCATGTTTCTTTTCAGGAAGAAAAATGAAAAAAAAAAAAAAGGAGAAGAACTATTTAATAAACATCATAAATGTAATGTAACTTTATCAATGATGATGGTGATGATAATAATAATAATGATAAGGGTTTTTATGTGAATATGATAGTAATTTTTTATAGTTGAGATCACGAATCAATCGTAGCTAGATCACCATTGGAAATTTCGGAATCACTGGATGGCTGTTTCATCCTAGTACTGAACTCCTCAGTGGTGTGCATCCACAATCCCGCCTTGTGAGATTCGAACCCAAGACCTATCAGTCTTGCGTGCGAAGTGAGTTACTATTTCATAATAGACTCGGTTGAACTATAATATCCACGAAAAACCCTTTCTGATATGGATCAACATATGCGCACTAATGACGGACTTCAAGACGTATTTCTTGGAGGTCTAGTTAGAAGGAGTGATCAGTGAAGTTCAACCGAGTCTGTTGTGAAATAATGACTCACTGAAGACAATGGCGGGTGTCTCGCTGAATTTCGTGGATTAGTTGAAGTTAGACATTAACAGCGTTGGATGCCAACTAGCTGAGTAGTCTAAAAGTTAAGCGTTCGTGCGCGAGACCGACAGGACCTGGGTTCGAATCTCGCGAGTCACGATAGCGGATGTGCACTGTTGAAAAGTCCCACATTAGGTTGAAACAGCCACCCAGTGCTTCCAGGTTTTCCATGGTGGTGTAGCTCCAATTAACTCATGATCTCAACGATTGAAAATAGTATTATTACTAATAATTATTTTGTAAAATATACTTATATTTCTTTATATAAATTATCATTATGATTTAAGTGGAAGGTTTAAACACTTAACCGCTCCTGTTTTATTGAACGAGAACACAATTGGGGACTAATCGAATGTATTTAAATACAAAATTACAAAATCTCTTAATAAAATCTAAGAACCATACAGTAAATAATTCATTTGCAAAATGTCAATCAATTATCTCAAACTTGATTGTTCCTTCGTTTCCATGCTAATCATTCTCTGTTCTCGTTCTTTTTTCTTCGATCTTTTTAACCTTCTGCCATTAAGCATTTCACTTTCGATTGATGATATATACTATTTATATCTATCAACGGTGAGACTATAATTTATGAACGACCTTTAAGTAACGCTAAAATAACCTTGAAAATGTCCATCTACTTACTAGGGTTAAATGAGGATTATAAATTAGTGCGAGGGACTAGGATTAGGAAAGGACATAATTCAAGAATGGTAAATCGTGTCATAATAGTCCATAGGTCAAAACAAAGCTTATAATAAGAGGGATATGAATATAAATAGTTCAGTTATTTAACAATTATATGATAAAAATATACGTATAATATTGATTTATAAATGGATCCCAAAAGTTACCATTCATTATGCTTAACGGGACATAACAATTTCATAGTTGAATTCATCAGTCAATTGAAGTTTGACCACCATAGAAAACCTGTAAGCAGTGAACATCTGTTTCGTCCTAGTATAGGACATCTTAGCAATCCCGCCTCGCGAGATTCGAACCCAGGACTTATTTATTATTTGAATTTGTCATAAAATGATTCATTTCAATTCTTTGACTTAGTTAAACTTGTTATCTTATCACTACTTATCTAATAACCTATGTTAGCATGTTTCATGCTGTGATTTACACCACTTCTTTCTTTAAAAAAACAACAACAACAACAATAGAACAATCCTATTTAGTAAATTCATTTGATTGTTGATATGTAAGAAGAAAACAAAGCCTAAATATTAGGTTAACTAGTCTATTAATATTTATGTCTATATATGTATGTACCCAATTGTAAGTAAGTGAATGAGTAAATGAATATAGCATACAAATAAAGCTCGTTCACAAATGTCAGTGTTTGTGTGTCTGTGTGTGTGTATGTGTATTTGTCCCTGTGTATACTTAAGGATTAAAATCACTTAAGACAAATACAATGTTTACAGTAATATAGATTGTAACCAATTGATAAAATGAAATATTTTCATATATGGTCAAGTGGAAGCAAATGGTAATTGATACTATATCAGTAGTAAATAAAATTTTCTTAGAAAAAAAATCATACATGTAAATCTCTTATAAAATCAGATCGAATCGAAGTAACCTTGGTAACATGAAGTGAATCAATGATACTATTAGATAGATGATAATAGTCGGGTAGAAATAGGTGTCTACCTCAGTACAGTGGAAGATGGTCGCGCAACTTCATGGATTGGTTGAGGTTAGACATTAACACCGTTGGATGCCAACTGGCTCAGTGGTCGAGTAGGTTAAGCGTTCGCGCGAGAGACTGAAGTTCCTGGGTTTGAATCCCGCAAGCGGGATTATGGATGCGCACTACTGAGAAGTCCAATACTAGGATGAAACAGCCATCCAGTGCTTCCAAGTTTCCCATGGTGATCTAACTTCAACTGATTCATGATCTCAATCAAAAATAGTTGAATATTACGAATGATGGAAGATCACATTATTGCAATAAAATGGAATAATAAAAAAATTTAACTGCATACTTTTTGAAAGGAATTTCCGTCATGAATCGATGTCGGCTAGGAAAGTACTTACTTACCTACTTATGCCTGTTACTTCCAATGGAGTATAGACCAGCATTCTCCCATACAATCTATCCTGGGCCTTCCTTTCTAGTTCTATTCAATTGTTGTTGATGCTTCTCATATCTGTCTCCATTTCTCGGCGTAATGTGTTCTTTAGTCTTCCTTTCCTTCTTTGATCTTGAAGATTCCATATGAGGGCTTGCCTTATGACGCAACTGGGTGCTTTCTGCAATGTGTGTCCTATCCACTTCCAGTGCTTCTTCATGATTTCTTCCTCCGCTGCGATCTGGTTTGTTCTCTCCCATAGTAGGTTGTTGCTGATAGTATCTGGTCAACGGATCGGTAGTATTCCGCAGCTAGAAAAGTACGGAATAATAAACAAGACACTGAACTGCTCTCGTATCGTATTTTAAAACTCCTTGGTAGTTCCCAAAGATGATCGTAGTCTAGACTGGAGACAAAATTTTAAGCTTCTTGTCAAATACAACAACAAGGCTAGCTACGAGAAGGATTTCCTTAAGTATTATCATCTGAAAAGTCACACTTTATAATATCAGGAAAGTTACATATCAAATATAATAAATAAGGAATACACTAGATAGTGATAATTGAACTGAACTTGAAAATTCCAACCATTAAACTTCAGCTACATGATAAATGTTGTAACCTCTGAAAGAACTTAATGAAATATGTAGTTACATCTTAGAAATCTAATCATTTACTTAGTAACAGAAAGAATATGATCAAAATTTCTGTCATCTTAATATAATTAAAAGGAGGTCAGTTCAACCTACAATTCTTGATATGACAAAATATTATTCTAAACTAAAACTATTTACTTTAAGTTGTAATCTAAAACGATAGTTGATTAACATTACATCGCCATTATAGATATCATCCACGCTTAACGCATTTCAATAATCCAGTAAAGTCATATAGACTTCCATTTTAGTATTTTCTATTTTTAGAAATTTATATTCATGATTATGTCTACATTGATTATTATGTGGTGTATGTTACTTATATCAACAAACGTAAGTAGTATGTAACACCAATCGGATGTGGAAAGTCTGGCATCAGAAGAAGATTCAATTAAAGAGAAAGAGAATGTAAACAAAGAGTAATAGCAATGAAGGGACAACAAACTTTGAAACTGGTAATTTGAGATTTGTAAATGAAATATTTAACATATGAAAAAAGATGGATAGTGACTAGCAGTAAAATCCAGGAAGTGCGTTTCGTTCTATTTGAGACTCGTCAGATGGATGCACATGTATCTGAGGTGGTGTTCACTCTGGAACTCGAACCTAGTACCGTTCACTTCAAACACGTAGTGGTAGTACTGTAGTCAATGAAGTTTATCTGAGGCGCGGTTATTGCTAGTTGAAAACTACTCCCACCGATGGAGTGAAATATCTTTGTCGGATGCAATTTTTCTAAACCGTCTTTGGTCCAATTTACAGGTTAACCCCTAAATGCCCTGGTACAGCGAAGAGTGAGGAGAGTCAGCTCTCCCTCTTGAAATGCACTCACAGGGCTCTGCCATGGAAGTCCTACTCACTGCCTTCTTGCACCATGGGTGTTGTTTACGAAATTGAGAGGACGAAAAGCTTTTACCGGGTTGGTGGACACGGAGAGTTTACCTAGGGGAGTTGGAAAACCCCGATTCCAAACCAATGGTATACATGAGCTCCAGAATCCTAAAGGAATAAATAGAGTATGAACCAATTATTAATCACTGGCTACCTTGAAACTGTATCTCTTAGCGTTACTCAACTGCCTTATAAATTAGACCTTTAGATCAAAAGCTCCGAGTATGGTCCCCCTCCTAAGCAAACTACCTGCTTCACTTTAGGCGCCTGAGAAGTATCCCAACCGTGACACAAATCCAATAGTGAAGTATAGTGCATGTTTATGTGTTTAAATAAATAAAATTTACAATAGTAATTCAATAGAAATCATGTTTTATTTATTCATCAAGTATTTACAACCAACTCGTCTGTTTGTTTGTCTATCTATCTGTCTGTCTGTCTGACTGACTATCTGTCTACATATCTGTCTGTCTGTCCATTTATTTGTTTGTTTGTTTGTTTATCACTATGATGTACAATTATGTAATGAACTCAAATGTTTACGTAATAATGAATAATAAATTTGTAAATTAGAGTTTTTCTTATTTATTAATAATAAATTTAATAAATCATTAGTAAATAATTCTGTATTATCTTTATGTAAATAATTGAATTCATTATTAGATTCAATATATTCTATATTGTTTAAAGGAAGTAAACCCATTGAAGCTTTATTATGATGAATATTTAAATTTAATTTAGAAGAATTCAATGAAGATGAAGAGGATAATGATGACGATGATAAGGATGATGATGATGATGAGGAGGAGGAGGAGGAGGATGGTGCTGGTGGTGGTGGTGGTGAAGATTCTGTTGTTTTCATATTTATACTACTATAAATAGTATTATCATTTTGATTAGTAGAATATTTTGATAAAGTTTCATTGAATATTTGGTTACCATGGTGAATTGTTTCGGTAATTTTGTCAATACAATGATCTTTATAAAGATCATGTTTAGGTGTAGATTTTATTAAATTTGTAAATAATATTGAATTACTTTGTGGAGAATTATTATTTAAATGAATATATTCATTGTTATTTCTATTTTCATTATGGTCTATAGGATTGTCAATATGTATCATAGAAGAAAAAGGTTTAGACATTGAATGTTTAGATAGAAATAGTTCAGATGAAAACTTATTTAGATAATCAATATGAGAAGTTAACAATGGGATGGAAGAGTTCTCTAAAGGTGATGATGGCAAAGAAAATGGTAGCGGTAATAAAGAATGTGAAGTATGAGGATATTCTCCATTATTCAATATAGTATGATTATGTCTAAATGATAAACTAGATTTATTTGAATAAAGTTCTTTTTCAATTAGTTCTTCAATCAGTAACTCAAGACTTTTATGATTATGTGAATGAAGTGATGGAAAAAAGTTTTGTTGTAACCATTGTAATGATGTAGGTGATGAAACAGTTTGTTTTAATTTAGGTAATCGTAAAAGTAATCGACCAAATCGAAATGGTTGATAATGAGAATAATTATATTTATCATATTCTTCTAATGCACATTGAATTCTTTCTTGTATAGAATCTACAAGATTTGGATCTTTGAGACCAGGTGCTTCTGAAGAGAAAAATAAATTCCACAAATCAACTGAGAATTATTAAAATACTGCAAAAAATACAAAGTGATTGATCGTCAAGTACTGACCGATGTCATAGTATTTAGTCCCTTAGAGTTGATTGAATTCTATTAATTAATTTGAGATGTGGCCGCCGTTCTAGTTAACTCAATATCTACTATGTTGTGATGATAAACGGTTGTCTACAGGAAACCTCGGACCTAGATTTTTTGCTAGTTGCTAGGTTGTAAATGTTATATCAAAAGAACTGTCACTCTTCGTAGAATTCAAATTGGTGTCATCCAGCTAAGTTGTTTGAATTCTTACCACTGAATTACTTGGGTCGCTACTGACCTCCTGTAGAACTGATATGTTTTTACAATTTATTGATTATTGACCAATAGCATACCCTAATTGTTCATTGCTAATGTCTCAAATTTTGAAGCTGAACGATATCAATCTAAATCCCACGGAGAGAGTTAGTTTCATTGACATTACATGTACATCTTAATGATGAGTATCAGCTACCAAGAAATCTAGGTTCAAGAATTCCTACAGAATAAGTTCAAACAACTCACTATATAAAATGATTGGAAAAAATATATAATATGTTTATAATCATGAGTCTTCACCAATCAATCGGTTAATCATGAAAACTAGCTCAGTATAAACATAAAATTATAAACTGTAAATAAAAGTTTGATATTCACCAGATAATCAGGGTCAAAAAAAGGGTTACTGCATCACCAATCTTTAGACACATAGATTGTACTTTATGTAGAAGAGTGAAATCTAATTCAAATTTGTCTGTCATCAATAATTCCTACTCAATTATATATAAATAACTACATTCATGTACAATGGCTAGTGATATAATTCAGGATGCTCGACATTTCATTCTATTCGGGACTTGTCAGCTAAATGTATCTGTATCTCAGAGTTGATGTTCACTCTGGAACTCGAACCTAGTAACGTTCACTGAAAACATCATTGCGTTATCTATTTATCTACTGAGTCCTGATAGCTATTTGATTGCTCAATGAGGCGAAGCTTAAATTCACCTGGTATTGTTTTACTTGAATCTTACCATTGATGTTTAACACTGCAAATGATCAGTCTCTTATCGGCATATGTTTATCCTGTGTGAATTGCCTCGATATTGCTTTAATTTACTGCTAGCTACTACCCATCTATGCTTATAATGCTTGTGAATTAAGGCATTATCGAGACAACCCTCACAGGATGTATATATGTCAATAAGAGATTGATCAATAGCAGTCTTAAACATCAGGTGGGGAAGATTCAAATAAACGATACCAAGTGAATATACATTCATGTACTTATGGAATTTTTCCTTTATATTGTGAATCATTCATAAATGAGCTATAATATATACTCCATATGTTATAACTTTTGGCTATTCCTACTACATAAAGTTTCTCTTGTTTCTTCATTGTTATACTAATGAATGTTATTCATATAGATGAGATGTGTTAAACGGATTGACTGACTGACTGGTTGGCTGTTTAATTTCCATCATTTTACTGCAGACAGATATAAAATACTTCTTCCATGGTTAAAAGAAGTTAGCAGGATGTTTAGTGATAAAAATCTAACTTATCGTCAATGTCTCAAATCAAAGATACTTGGTTACCATCAATATCAGTGTTAAAATTCCCATCACAAAATATGAAATGTTCAATGGGGTAATTCTTTTATTCTATTAATTACAAGCTAATAATGATAAGCAATCTTCAGTATAGGGTTGTAGAGATTATTAAGTTATTGATTGAGATCGTGAATCGATTGATGGTAGACCAGCACTGAAAACCTGGAATCAATGGACAACCGTTTCGTCCTATTGCGGAACTCCCCAGCAGTTCACATCCACGTTCTCGTTCGAGGGATTCGAACGCGCAATTTTGTGGATTGGTTGAGGTTAGACATTACCACGGTTGGATGCTGGCCAGCTCAGTGGTCAAGTAGTTTAAGCGTCCGCACAAGAGATAGAAGGCCCTGGATTCGAATCGCGCAAGCGGGATTGTAGATACGAACTGCTGAAAAGTCTTACAATAGGACGAAATGGCCGTCCAGTTCTTTCAGGATCTTAATGGTAGTCTAATATCAATCAGTTCACAATCTCAATCCAAAATAAGTAATCTAACAACTGTCAATTATGCTCTGTTATAAAAACACACTATTTAATAAGTAGTATACGATTTGTCAATTAAACTTCATATTAATTCCCTTAATCAGATTTCTATTGTCCATTACATTAATAGTAATTTATTAAAAGTAACTAATTGTATTTGTGTTATTTCTTTTCTTCCTAGTCTTAGTTTTTTCCCCAATCTAAACAAGTTTTATATCATTGCTAATGTTTACAAGTGAGAATTTAAAGCTAAGAACAAGCAACTATAAAGATGAATGTGAATGTAACTAAAACACATGTTGTCTAGTTTTACAACCAAAATGATTACAATAATAGATCTGATTATGTAATCTACTAGTCTAATAATAATAATAATAATAATAATAATAATAAATGGGTTAACATATCTACCTTTTATCTTCTGACACTTTACATCTAACTTCTTCTATTCCCTTGTCTATCCCATTACCTCCTCCAATTCTATACTTATCCTTACAGTGGATATATATATATATATATATATATATGTAACTACTGAAAAACATATATTACTAATAAAAGCATTTAATTAGGAAGATGTTAGAAAACGGCAGGTATTCCAACTTTATATTATTTGTTCTTTTCTTTTATTTTAAACAAATAGACTTGACAATTGTTATAGAACGCTTTCTTTTTTCTTTAACATATAACCCACTAGTATTCATCTAATAACATTTATGTTGAAACGGTTAGTTTTTCCCGTCATTCATAGTTTACACATATGAATAGATGAATAGATTTTTTTTTTGTTTGGTTTCATCTCTCATTACATACAATTCATTACTGGTGGTGGTGGTGATGATGGTGATGGGGACGGGGGGTAAAATACTCAATACAGTATTCATTAATGTACAACTCTATATCTGTCTGTGTTCGTGTCCGTTTGTGTATGTGTGTGTGTGTTCAAAAGACATGTAGAAACAATTAGACAATAATAAAACAATAACTATTCAATGTCTTTTTTTCTGGATAAAGAAAACAAGTTAAATAGAACAATAGCAAATGTTACAACAACTTATGTATCCAAATCCCCTGGAGTTAATTCATGTTTTATTATTATTATTATTATTACTTTTTTTATATAACAAGGTTGATCATTGAATGATAATGGTAAATACAAAAAAAATAGAAACCATGAAGCACTAGACAAGTGTTTCATTTTAACATGGAACTCTTCAACAGTATAGATCCATAATCTCACAAAAGATTGAACTGAGAACCTACAGCATTATCTTAGAGCACCTAACCTGTAAACTAATGTGATAATACTATATAATTTATCTGTTTAACATAAATCAATTCACGATATTCTGCATTCATTTTTCAATCTCAGTGTCTAATGATTTTTATTATTCAATGGTTGTTTAACTAAGATCAGATCATGATCTTTATTTTGTGTTTTTAAATGTAACAATCTCTGCAAACCTCCTATACAATAAAGTAAAAATTATTAGATAGGAGCTTGTCAGAAGTAGGAACCCTCCATTAGGATTAAACCTGAAACTTATCATATTTCTATTATGACTTCAATATTATTAAGCTTCTAACTTTTTGTCTGTTCACTTAGGTTTTCTATTTCAATCGTTTGAAATTCCCACTCTATTTCAAACTATTTGTGATAAATCCATATTGAGGAATTACTGGTTATTTGAATATGTTTATGTGTGCCTGAAGCCCCTCTAAAGCTTCTAATGGTCCCGAGTCCGGATAAAAGAGGAGGGTTGAGCATGGAATTAGCGAACCCATCCTGCAGTAAACTAACTCGCTAAAAAGACACTAACCAGAAATATGATATGTTTTGCTTACAAATATCTAAATTAAGCACTTCCTACAATATTATCATGTTAGAGTTGTTGTGAAGCTACACGAAGTTAACATGGATACATCATGGTCTATAATAATGTATCTCGAAATACTGAAAAACATTTATACCTGAGAAAGATTATCCTATCGAAATTATGTTCTCTGTATTGGGTCATTTATATGTGGAGTGTTCATTTACTAACTGAATAAATTCATCAGTACAAACTTTAAAGAGATAAACTATTTCACTAAGATACAATGATGCTTTTGACAAAATAGTGAAACATCAAAGAAACTTTTCTTCCCAATAAATTGACATCAATTAGTGAACAGTTAGAAACTAAAAAGGGTATCAATCACATAGTTTAACCTATTCGCCGAATTTTCAGCACATATGCCATTGAATTCCCACAAGGTATCATGCTTGCTATAATGAAGTCAGTCAGTCAGTCAGCTACAACATGAGATCAGGCACATATATGTATTGCTCTAGATTGCAACATCTCATTAGCACAACAAGATGAACACCGGATTCATAGAAGTAGTTAATTCACTAGTGGTAATATATAAAAGAAAGATTGCATATAAGGATATAATAAAGAAAGAAGGAATTAGCTCGTAGAAATAAAGATATAAAGCGATTTTAATCTCATAGTTTAAGGGCAGACAGAGAGTGTATACACCGACGCCTTTGTGATCGATTCTGAGCCATGTCACCAAGAGTCTCCAACCATTGGTTACGATAGTCACGCGGACCCCAACCAGGTAGTCTGCATCTACCAACATGGCTCAAACCAGAAGTTAGTGACTTCAAGCACTGATGCCACGTTTTGTTTTGGCCACCCCTAACTTTCTTCCAATCAGCCCTAACACCAGTAAGCATTGCGCGTCGTGATAATCGGTGTTCAGGCATACACAACACGTGGCCCAACCATCTCAGTCGATGAAGATTCACAACCTCGTCAACTGATTTATTATCATTCCTTAATGAAAGAATTATAATAATGTTCTCATATTCTCAGTTAATCTCTATGTAATAACAACTTTAGAAATAAAAATACCCTTAAAACTATCATACAAAAATAATGAAACAACCCATTTGGTAATAAAATAAAAAATAGTAAACTTACCAGAGTTAAATAAAATTAATGCTTTTAAACAAACATATTCAGATTGATCCAAATTCAATTGTTGTATTCGTTCTAATTGATCTTGAAATTCCATTGAATATTGTTGATTGGATAATAATAATAATAATAATGTATCAGATGAGTTTTTTAAAGGATCTTTAGTCAATCGAACACTTTCATCAATTTGTGTTTGTTTAAAATTTATCAAATCAATAAAATTTTTCAATTCTCCATTGAAATGTTTATCACTATGGGAATCATTTTTAGATTGATACCCCATATTCCATGTCATGAACTGATTATTATTATTATTATTATTATTATTATTGTAATTGAATGATGACGTAATCAGCGAATGATTATAAATTTGAGCCAAATAAAGCATAAATAATTCTGGCCACGAATTATTCAATAAAATCAATTGATCACTTGGCTAAAATCAATATAAAATTCAATAATAAATTCTAATGGAAGTTAATAGATTATACTGAAAATAGTCGTTGAAATACCTGGTACTTCAAGTTATGAGCAATTTATTAATTGGCTTATTTAACAATTACAGTTTCATGTTAGTTGTCTCTGATAGAGATCTTGAACTGATGAATGTTAGACCACCATTGGTTGAGGTTAGACATTAACACCGTTGGATGCCAACTGGCTCATTGGTCAAATAGGCAAAGCGTTCGCGCACGAGACTGAAGGCCCTGGATTCGAATCCCGCAAGCGGGATTATGGATGCACACTGCTGAGAAGTCCCACAATAGGATGAAATGGCCATCCGGTGCTTCCAGGATTTCAATGGTGGTCTAACATTAATCGGTTCATGATCTTAATCAATAACTTAATAATCTCCCCAACCCTATACTAATAGTTTACTAGTATAAAGTCTAGTGTTATTGGTGGAGTTTTGTTCTACGAGCTGGATGGTTTTGTCGTGAAACTTTTATTGTTCCTCTGAACGACATCTTCAGCACAAACTAGAACTAATTAACATTGAGATCTAGAGGACAAGCTGTGAGCTACATGTGGAGAAATTCGTACACTTCACTTCTACTTTAAGTTTGTGTTGATGATGTCGTTCAAAAGAACGATGAAAACTCCATCATCAAACCATCCAGTTTAGAGAACAAAACTGCATGAAAACCATTTACCTGAACTACAAATCTTCTACACCATCTCAAGTCTAGCGTTACTATACAACTTTCTATATTAAAATGTATGATAATGGTCTCGATTGTCTAACGTGTTAGTTAGAAGCCCAGTTTTGTAATCTATAAGAAATCCTTTTACCGAATATCAGTACTTCATAATTAAGTAAAGAGTTAGGTTTAAACATGAATGAAAATAAAACAGTAATGAATAACTTCCTAGATTCATTTCAGTAATGAAATGAAATAAAAGAACTATTCAGTAATATATTTTGAGTAAAATCATCAACTTGAAATCGTTTGTTATCATGAGTAATGAAGATCTGAAAGAAACAATTAATTGTATTCAAAGGGTGTTGTGAAAACACTCTAATTCAATTAGGTTTTATGTTGCTAGACGGTTGGAGGTAGTCGATAAGAAACTCTAGACCTAAGTTTTCTGATAGTTGACAGTTAACAATAATGCACATTTTCAATGTTGATGCTTTCTGTGTATTTGAATTCCTTATCATCAACGTTTATTTCACAAAACTTTACTACTTAAATATTCAGCCAGCAACTGATTTCTAATAACATCCCAGATTAGGGAGCCGAATTAGAGGTACTTCATTTGTAAATGATGCCTCAGTTCCCTTAATATTATAGGTATGGCTTGTCGATGTGTTACAACTAAAACTAACAGCTACACCATAACCCGACCAATAAAACTCGATCATAACTAGAGAAATTTGATAAGCATTAGATTTGTCACTATTCAGTCACTTGTAAAGGTTTGATTTAGTTGATATTCATTCCAAAAAGATATAGCATGTTTCAACCTAAAATGACTGATAATAGTACCATTTCTGAATAGTATGTAGGGCCAGTGAAATGTCACTGAGCCCTAGCCAAATCATCCAGAAGTTGGGTCACTGAAAATCGAACAAATCATCGATCCATGTCAAAGTCGAGAACAACCAACGCGTATCGGTTAGTCGTATGCTATGGACTGGCCCGTGCGGTGGTGGTCTCACTATCTTCTCTGTACTAATATATTTCCATAACAACGTCCTTTATGTTGTACTATCTTTAAAGTATCTATAGTACCTTGACACGACGAAGGGGTAGTCCAAGTTAGGTGCTGACTTCGTGGTGTGATTTCGACAATAGTTGTTGGTCATACCATTCCTGTCTAACTCCAGTAGGCCCGCAATCATTCGACATAGATCATCTACGTTGGTGATTGACAAGTATATTAATAGTTGGTACTATTAATCAAAGACCCACATATCATCAGAACTGACAAAATTAGTCAATATAATCAGTTGTCTCTCTATCATCCACATACAATCAGACTATATCCATGTAATCAACATGCTTTTATTGTTCTAACATCTACTTTCTATCATCAACAATCATTGAAACAAACAACAACATCATAATCAAAGATTGATAGTGGCTGGAAGTGGAATCCACGACGCGCGCCGCTTCGTCCTATTTGGGACTCGTCAGATGGATGTACCTGCATCTCAGAGTTGATATTCACTCTGTGACTCAAATGCCATCACGTTATACACTTAGCTACTGAGTCCTGATTGCCATCTACTTGTGCAATGGGGTGAAACTTAAATTCACTTGATATTATTTGCTTATATCTTAAGGCTTGTGAATTAAGCTAATATCAAGGCAATACACACAGAATGCACACATGCCAATAAGAGACTGATCAATCACAGTGCTAAATATTAATAAGAAGATTGAAGTAAATAATAACAAGTGAATTTAAACTTCAACCCACTGCACAAGCAAGTGGCTCTCAAAATTCAGTAGCTTAATGGATATCGTGATGGCATTTTCAGCGAAAGTTACTAGGTTCGAGTTCCAGAGTGAACATCAACTCTGAGATGCAGGTACATCCAGTTGACGAGTCCCAATTAGGATGAAGTGTCGCGCATCCTGGATTCCACAGCTAGCCACTATCCATCTTTGTATATAATGCTTGTCATTTCAGCCAATATAGAAACAATACACACAGTATGTACATATGTCAATAAGAGACTGATCAATTTAAGTGTTAAACATCCTTAGGAAGATTCAAGTAAACAACAATACCCAATGAATTTAAACGACAACATTATTCATAAATCAGTATTATCTTCCATTAATCTTGAATATTAAGGCCAACTTAAATTATTAAATTATTGGATATAAATTTAGAAGAAAACTGTGTTGTTATGTTATTGTTTTTTTTTTTTTTGTTTTGTTTTTTCCCTCATATCTCAACAACTAACATCTTTACTTACACCAATTTTTTGTACGGAAAAAGTTTTTCTCATGTTAATGTGATGTATGTTACAACAGTGTTCAATCATTCAACCACAACCACACCAACAACAACCACAATCCCACCACCACCAACAACAACAACAACAAGAAAAAACACCACGGAAATAGATAGGGGGAAAAATAAAAATTTACACTCTCAGCATGAATTATTCTAGGCAAATATTTTGCTTTAGGCAAAATATATATTATCTCATACAAATTTCAAGTTGATCATTCTTATTCCATGTTAGTAACTATATAGATGATACAATCATTACTTATAATATTATGTAAATTTCTGTGATATATGTGTATGTGTTTATCTCTGTGTGTGTATGTATCATATTATCATATTCTTTATGTCTATTTTTATCCCCCCACCACCACCACACGTACACCCCCCCCCGTTTTGTTCATTTTATATACTCCCTTCGGCAACTAAATACTATGAAACTATTCGATTCCTTCTATATTTGTTTAATCACACACTACTCTAATTAAATTAAATCAATTGTATAAAGAGTAAAAAGATGAATGGCCTAATTAATCTCTGACTTTATTGGCCTGTTGCATAACAAAGGTCAATAGTAATAATAATAATAATTCTGTTACATTTATTTTCCCAAAGGTTTGTCAGTTATTTTTTGTGTGTGTGATGAATATTCCTTTGATTAGATGCCTATATATATTAAATTATATATTAATTTAATAAATGGGAAGAATTTAAACACATTTTAGAGCAAAGATAGATGATGGCTAGCAATGGAATTCAGAATGTACGTTTCGTCCTGTTTGGGATTCGTCAACTAGATATTAAGTTTCCACAGCTGGGTTCCCATCAGCCGAAAAAAAACTTAATAATAACACTCGCTACAAGAATACGAAGAATCTGTAGGCTCGAAGTCGTAGATGAAGAATTGAACCTCTTAAAGGAGATAATTATCAAAAACGGGTATCCTTCGATATTCATTGATAAGAACATGAGGCCGAGAACACCAAAAACGCCAATAATTACAGTAGAAAAGAAAACTCTATACATGAACATCGACTTCAAAGGTGACAGAGCCACATATATCTTAAAGAGGAGAATTTCGGATTCCTTATAAAGAACATTCTCTGCAGCAACATTTCGAATAGTATTCTCCAGCCGATACTTGTTCACCAATAATTTGAAAGATGAATTATCGCATCTGACCAACTCAATGTGCATTTACCAATTTACCTGCTCATGTGGAGCTATGTATATAGGTCGTTCGATGCGTACTTTATCCAAAAGAATTCAAGAACATTGCCCGGCGTGGCTAAAAGGAGAAGGCAACGGCTTAATGAGAAGTTCTATGATAGAACACCTTGTGAAAACAGGTCAGTCAATCAAGACAGATTCTGCGTTCCAAGTCATCTACAAGGTTAGTAGAAGTCTTCCTAAGACAATTAGACTGCATCTTCTTTGCATTGACGAAGCAATACACATACATCTGGAAAAACCAGAATTGTGTGTACAAAAGAGACTGGTACAACCTCTTCTTCTACCATGGTCTTAATGTATTAAAATTTTTCTCTTGTTCCTTTACAACCATCTGCTTCACCTTCCACCTTCCCCTTAAATCTTCTACCTCCAACTGGTTTATTTCTGTTTCTACGATCCTCCTGATTACATTTCATCTCAATTTCAACATTTTATCTTATCATGCTGAGCCATCCTTTCCCAATGATAATTTCTCTATCTATCTTCTGATGAATACTTAAGCTATTAACAACCAAATGATTATTAAACTTTCCTTGTTTTGAATTATTTGTTTTAATAACTTTGTTTATTTAACCTCACTGTCACTATGTATAACAAGTTTATTATCATCCTGTAAAAATAAGTATATCTATTTGCGATTGTACAGCCTTGAAAATGAATTCGCCGAAAAGAGAACTCTTCGCTGAATTAATCTTTCTTATTTAACTAGATATACCTCTATCTTAAAGTTATTGTTCATTTGGGGACTCAAACGCAACACTGTTCACTTCAAACATCATCGCATTATTCACTTAGCAACTAATTCCAGGCAGTCACTGGTTTATGAAACCGATACAAATGAATTAAAAACACATTTGAAGTTATGTTGAACTTAAAGGTTTGTGTATTACTGAATCTCAAGATTTCTATCAATAGACATCAAAAAGGTTACTATAATAGTAAAGGAAATTTGTAGTGTATTTAACTGACCAGTTAAAATATGAACCTAAATTGGATTTAATGAGTAACATATTTTAAATTTACATTAAATACATAAAGAAAACCACTTCTAAAATAACGGTGTACGAAGACAAATTTATAAACTGTTATAACTATATATGAATTATAAGATGGTGGTTGAAGGTAGTCAACAAGGGACCCTGGACCTAGGTCTCGTGCTACTTAGCACTTGTCAGCAAGATGTACCTGTAATTTTGAGGGAACTGATACTCCCTGACGGATTCGATCCCGTGTCACCCAGCCATACAGTCAGAGACATTACCACTAAACTAACCGAGCCGCGACTGACCTCCTGCAGAATTGAGGTGTATTTGCAATTGACTGATCGCTAGGTGGTGATTGATGTTTTGTGTGTTAGGTCCTTTTTAGTGATGATCGGACCCTATCGACCAAGTCGCAATATGGCCACAAGTCTTGGTGACTCGACATTGGTGTGCACCAAGTCAGGAAAAATCAGTTCCCTCAAGATTACAGGTATATGTTGTTGAAAAAAGCCTACTGTATAGTCTTATAGTTACAAGTTCAGTAGATAATAAGTTGAAATTTATATTAAGCTCAAGTAATAATTTAAATATTAAAACTGGGATTTAGGTTAGTCCAGTTAACAAATCCAAATTAGAACGAAATTTTCAGCTTTTCATCGCACTACAAGTCAAATTCTAAATATGATCAATCGAATATATTTCACTGAATTTCCTTAATTGTCATTGCGTGTTTCTTCCCACTGATGTAATTCAATAGTCTAAACAATCTTCAAATTGTACAGAAATCTCTACAACTACTACAACTACAAAGTATGAAAAACAAAAGTCTTTCAGTTTGAAAAGGACAAGAATCTTGATGGCCTATGTTAGCCCTGACAATGATGGTCTTTCAGTTGATCCAACTTTCTTTTGAAAGAGTTAACATATGGAGCCTCAACCACGTTCTGAGTTAATGAATTCCACTCATTGATAATTTGATAGGAAAGTCAATAACCAGCTAACAAGTAATTTGTGTCCAACCTTGTGAAATTTTTCTGAAGTGTTCTGATAAATTCTATGCTTTGTAAGACAACAAAAATGAGAGTATATCCGGTGCAAATTTATCACTAATTAATTTGAAAACTGTAATCAAATCACTTCTAGTTCTTCGATATGTGACAACGAGAATAGGTTTAGCTTAGCCAGTCAAGCATCATACAGGAACTTCACTATTCCCAGTATCAACATAGTTACTGTTCTCTAAACTATGGTTCATTATTTTACCAATCAATTTAATTTAACCATAAAATGTACATACCATAAACTTTTTCTTAATATACTACTTACTTGTAAATCAGTAAACAAACTTATATTTTTTGCCCATTCAATCATAACTAATAAATAATTAAATGTAGAATTAGTTATTTCATTTAATATTGTTAATTGTTGATTACATTTCATATTGGGAATGAATGATTGTTCTTCTTTTGATAAAGATTTTCCACCAGCTTTAATTGTTGAAGTAATTGAAGATGAATCTATTAGTGAATTTAATCTAGTATGATGATTATCAATACTATTATTATTGCTACTTATATCATTATAAGTAGTTAAGTGAAACTTATCAAAAGATTTGTGTTCATTAGAAGAATTACATTTTTGTAATTCTGTTATTATTTTAGATTTGTTTAAAACAAAATTAAGATAATACATATATTGTTCATTATTTAAATATTGATATGAATTATGCTCAGCAACTAATAACATATTGATTAATTGTGTAATATTTGATCCGATCATATGATGATGATGATGATGATGAATTGGTGTCAATGAATTGGCAGTGAGGAAATTTGATAAACCAAAATATGAATGATATAATAATGGAAATGTAGGCAAACGACCTTGTTGAACAGCTGTAATGACAAAAAACAACAACAACGACAATATAGAAAAGGATATAACAAGATACTGTGAACATAAAGATTAGTACTAAGTGTAAAATTTATACATACATTGCAGAAATTACCAAACTACATCACGAGACAAGCGCTAATTTGGAATTCAGAAGGGAAGTGGAAAAGAGGAAGTTCAAGGAACACATTACGTCGGTAAATAGAAGCAAAGATGGAAAGGATGAATAACAACTGGAAAAAGATAGAAAGGATTGCCAAGGATATGGTTGGATGGAGAATGCTGGTGGGCGGACTATGCTCCTTCACGACGAGTAAGAGCCGTAAGTAAGTAAGTAAGTAAAATTCTTATGCGCTGGGCAATAGTCTATAAGATCGATCGGTGATAAATTCTTTAGTAGACCTTTGATTCATGTTAATCTTACTAGATAAACTTAAAAAGATATTTATCAAATGGTTGGAGATAACAGATATCAAAATCTTGTATCTAGATTTCTTTAAAGAATGTCATTCATCTGCAAGGTTTATGAGAAATCACTGATATCAACTCCAAGTGTTATAACACATGTCGTTTAGAACTGCGATGGAAGTCTTTACTAGAATTAGTTCACCACTTGATTGAGAAACCTATCAGCATTATGGATTTGAATGTATAAACACCATTCAATGACTGATTATTATTGTAAAGTATTCAATTTCATAATAAATCAATTCCAGCACTGACAAATTTACTGACTATAACGCTGGGTAACAAGAGTTCTAGATCAGTAGGAGATATCAGTTCCTTCACGACTAACAACATACCTTATAAGTAAGTACTAACTACAAAGGAAATGAGATCTACTGTTTACACAAGATCCCCTTCACACCAAATGGAACCACTTAGTAATCACACTACAAATTGATCGATTAAATTTTAATGAGCACCAAGGACTTAACAATGCGATCTTGGTTACTAATCATTGACTTTTTATAATCAAATCAAATCATGCTCATTACGTTATAACCTTAGGGGATAATAAAGACTAGATTATTGACACTTGCTGTTTATGCTGGTTAGCAAGGTTGTTTTCTACGGGATGGGGTTGTTAGTCCCATAACAAACTCACCTTCTTTACCCGAGCTTTGGTACGGCAGTAATTCTAGAAGAGCTACAGGAATAGTTCTAACACTTGTTAGTTTCTCACTAATTATTGAGACTATTAATTAGTGTGGTTACCACCCTTATTTCAAAAAGTATGAATTGAGTAATATGTAAACTCTTATGCTCCAGTTACAGGAATCCCTTTAGAGTTATTTGTCCCTCTGAATAATATTTTCGTAGAAGCCGATAGAGTAGATTAATTTTTAATGAATATCATCGTTTACAGTGATTTACCACTTACAGTCATAACTGATGCCATGCTTATCCGTATTGCCCATAGTGTAGGTAATTTACAAGAAACCCTACTTGATCTAGTCTTTGTCTCCATTGGAACTTATCAATATAGCGAAATAACTGACATTACTTGTGAAATTCCAACCCGTTTCATCTAGTTACATAGCCAATTACTGGCTACAAATTGTTTCCTCTATACATAATGATGAGTTACTTAGAATAATAACCATACTGCTAACTGTAAAATACATAGTATCGGTTGCCACAGAGTGATCAGTTGGTTTATATATTTTAATCCTACAGGAAGTGAATAACGATTCAAATAGCCCTGTGATAAAATCTCTTAATGGGATACTTGATAACGCAGATTTAAATTAAATTGAGAAGTACTAGTCTCTTCGTAACTTATATATGACTTGTTGACGAGTGAAAATTAACAAAAAAGATCTAATTTCAGTCGTCTTATCAATCTCTTCTGTTCAGAGGTTAAATTAAGTGTTCGCGCGCGAGATCGGTAGGTCCTAGGTTCGAATCTCACTGAGCGGGATCGTGGATGTGCACTGGTGAAGAGTCCCACAATAGGACGAAATGGCCGTTCAGTGTTTCCACATTTGCCATGGTGATCTAGCTTCAATTGATTCATGATCTCAACTATATTGAATAACTCATATTCCAATATCACATGGGTTCTTTTGTGTTTCTTTAATTTTATAGATACTCTATCAAAAATTTTGTGATGGTAAATATAAAAATCAAAAATGTTTGTTGATTGTCATACCATTAAATTGATCAATAAAATTCATTTCTGTCGGTAAAAACAATGCAATATGACACTTTTTTACATTTCAGTGACCAAATGTTGTTCATGGCCATCACTTTAGGGACATGACTAACATCTAAACACCATGTTATGATACCATAATGATTGTGCCATTGGAAACTCTTTGATAAACACAATGTCGAAGGTCAACTATCTTAGTGCTACATTTTTCTCTGATCTCTTTTGGTTTTCTCATGTTTTACTGTTATTGAAGAAAGTTTTCCGTCTGACTTACGATATAAAGAAGCTACATCCTTTTAGGACAACTCGATATTTACTCTTACAATTTATCAATTCTTGCATATTAACTATCATTCTTTACTGTTCTCCATTATTCCCTCCCGGGATTTTGAGAAAATACTTTGATGTATTGTGGAAAGTGCTGAAGGCAGTTAGCAGAGTGTGTGGTGAATCTTTTAAAGTCACTATTAATATTCTTGTGAATGGATATCTAAAGACTTGCAAACTCCTGGCCGGTGTTATCTTATCAGATACTGATCATCTTTCTCCTTGTATATCTTCTAGTAGAACGAGACGTCAATACATTCAAATCTATACACATAAGCAAGGGTATAAAAGTTCTATAATACCTTACCTAGCAAATATACTGTTTGACGAACAGGTTGTTTGAGTCAACCTAGTCAATAACCTGTCTTTACAAACATGTCTCTAATTTGAAAAGTTTCACAGATTCAGGTCTTTTTTTGACTTTTTTCCCATCGCTTTATTTTTGGTTCCTGTGAAAGAAACTTGTTGAAATACCTCGTGCTAAGAATTCTATTTTGTATCAAAATATAATATTGAATAAAGCCATTAATAATAAACATCATCCAGATATTCTCTGTATTTAAAGAGTTTTCATTAGTGTTTAGATGTGATAAAGCAAGTGTATAGTTCGATCATGTTCTTTTCCCAACTATTTGTCAGTTTTTAATTGTTTACAAAACATACTACTAATCCAACTTTATTTAGTATATGTACGTCTGAAGCGAGTACAGAACATACTACTATCAATCACTAATTAATTGATATAATCGTGTATAAGTTTGTATGATTGATATTTTATCAACTTTTAAATATAAAAATAAATCAGTATGGGGTTGTGGAGATTATTATATTTTTGATTGATATCATGAACCGATTGATGGGAAACCATTATTGAAAACCTGGAAGCACTGGATGTCCGTTTCGTCCTATTGTGGGACTCCTCAGCATTGCGCATTCACGATCTCGCTCGTTGGGTTTAAACCCATTAACACCGTTTGATGTCGGCTTAATGATCTAGAGGTTAAGCGTTCACATGTGAGATCGAAGGACCTGGGTTTGAATCACTCGAGAGGGACCGTGGATGCGCACTTCTGAAGAGTCTCAGCGTCCCCCCTCCGGGTTACAATGGTGATCAAACATCAACCGGTTCATGATTTGATAAAAAAATATGTTTTAAAAGTGTTTATTTTAATATTTTAAGTGTATTGATACTAATCAGTAGTATTGACCAGTAGTTTGAGGAGATCATTTCAATTATTATAATAGCCAGAGTCGAATACTAACATGTATCAAAGTACCAATTAACATTGATTTGGTAGTTCACAATCTAATATACTCATATTAAAGATCTGAAAATCACTAGAGTTCCATTATGTATGTGCATTCATGATAATCAGTTATTGATTAGTTCTAAACATATGATAAGAAGGGATTTTGTTTTTAATAATTAAACTGAATATCAGTATTTTCTTTATTAATCTTGATTAACTGTTTAGTTTATTATAGGATTTCTCAACACTATAATGAAACAGGATATGAAGGTTTCACAATGAACACTTAATCTACCTACCTACCTACCTACCTACCAGTGATCCCCTATGTAATAGTTTACATTTCTAAATTTAATCAATGAGCATCAGTGTACAACAACTATCTACCACAATTAGCGATATTAATTAAACATTTTACATCTTTGAATTCAAGTGGTCACTGGTTCACACCAAAAGTTCAGGAACTTCTTCCAGAAATGATACACTAGTAATCAAATGATTGTTAACACAGAATGTCTTAGTATATTGTACATCACAGTCAGTGTTATACACCATAAATTGAACAATCTGATCAAATATCCAAGACTAGGTATACTCAATTTATGAAACCATTGATGTAATGATAAAAATTTCCATACTGTAGATTGAGACAATACACATGAACAATATTGTTTTCAATTAGATCACCTTCATGTTTCTGTTTAATAATTAGTAGTATTTTAATAAATATATGAAAATCTGAAAGCAGTTAAAGCGGTTTATGAGTCTATGATAACAAAGGGATAAATGACACAGTTAAATGTAATAAGTGAAAAGTATGAACTGATTGTGTGATTATTAGTATATGGTTGTGGAGATTTGTTGAATTTGAATTGACATTATGAATCGACCGTTGTTAGACCACTACTGAAAACATAGAAGCATGAGATGGTCATTTCGTATTAGTATGGAACTAAACAATAGTACGTGTCCACGGTCCCACAGGCAGGATTCGAATTTAGGACCTTCGGTTTGTGCAAACGTTTAATCTCCAGATCACTGGGCTGACATCTAATGGCGTTAATGTTTAACTTCAACTAATCCACGAGATCGTATGACCATCTTCCATTGTCTTTGATATTTAACTGACTCATACAAGACACGATTATGATCCACTGATCATGGCCTCTCGCTAGAACTCCGACAATTACCTCTCGAAGTTGTTAACCAGTGAGAACATCATAATTATCAGTATAGAGTTGTGGATATTATCAAGTTTTAAGTGATATTATGAACCAATCAATGTTAAACCATCATTGAAAACCTGTATGATGACAGATGTACTAGTTGTAATTAGAATAATAATGGATTGACTCAATATTTCATAATAAAAAGTGGGTCAACCACTTGTAAAATTAGGCATTAACATAACATTCATTAACAGCTAATTAAATTACGTAATGAGAAGTGTGTAAACAATTACACAGGAAGGTGTGTAGTTAAGTTGAAAGAAAATAAACATAGTATGGAAAACAATAAAAGGTATAATCATTCTCTCTCTTTAAGTCAGTCAAAGAAGAGATGAAGATGTTACAGTTTAAATCTCCTTAGCTCCTGCTAGATGTATAACATTGAACTCCATAAGGAAAAGTAGTAGTTATATGATGAATTATTTCCAATTCATTCGATTCCATTTACCACATCACCTCTATCGATCAAGTATGATAAACCGGAACTGTGTATTGGTTAATTTATGCCCATTCATATCCATAAAGTGAAGTGTTCACTAACTGGTTACAGTTAGTGAGTAAGTTGTTTGATTGTACACCTAACGTAGCTTTCTCTACAGATACAGTTTAATTCATAGATGTACATGAATATCATAACTTCCTATTATGAAACATTGAATCAGCTCTTTATTAATCTGATCATAACTAGTATACTTCTCATCACACTATCAATTCATACTTATCACTCATTACATTTAACTGTATAACCTATTCCATTGTTACCAAGGTCTCATAAATCGCTTTAATTGCTTTCATATTTTTAGATATGCGTTAAAATATTACTGAATATTAGAAAAAAACCTGATGATGATCTTATTGAATTGGTTGGATTGGTTGAGGTTAGACATTAACACCGCTGAATGCCGACTCAATGATTTAGTAGGTTAAGCGTTCGCGCGCGAGACTGAAGGCCCTAGGTTCTTATCCCGCGAACGGGATCGCGGATGAGCATTACTGAGTCCCACAATAGAAAGAAACGGTCGTCCAGTGCTATCAGGGTTTCAATGGTAGTCTAACATCAATCGGTTCATGATCTCAATAAATGAAAACTGTATTGTTTAATATGTATTCGAAGACTTATTTTTCAATGTTAATTCTTTTTGGTGTATAAATCATAATCATAATACATAAACAATACATTTTAATGGTTGTATAATGTCTAAACCCCAATATATTTCGCACAAAGGTCAATCTCAAGTCTAAACAACAATCCTATAGGTTATCATTGCAAAAAAATTATCATTCCGACTAAGATATGAACTAGGAGTTATCAGGATTGGTTTAATATGAATAAAAATAGTCAACTTCCTTTAAGACAAGTAAAAAGACTTAAAGTTCCTAATAATCAGTCGAAGTATTAATCCAAACATCTGATCACTTACAGAACCTATTTAACATTCTAGATTCAACAATAGCCTACTGTAGGAGAGAACAAACCAGCCTCCAAATGAAAGGGAAATTAGGAGAAGACTACGGAAATAGATAGGATATACATTATGGAAATCATCAAACTGCATCACGAGGCAAGCCCTAAATTGCAATCGTGAAGGGAAGTGGAAAAAAGGAAGGCCGAAAAACACCTTACGTCGGGAAATAGAAGCAGATATGAAAATGATGTATGACAACTGGAAAGAGCTGGGAAGGATTGCGCAGAACAGGGTTGGATGGATATTGTTGGTGAGCGGCCTATGCTCCTCCACGAGGATTAACAGGAGTAAGTAAAAGTAAATGACTGGAAAAATATAACAACTATCGGTTCCACAATCGAAATTCGATGAAAATGTATATTTTTTATCTCTTACACTAACAGTTTTTGATGTCTAGTCGTTCATGTAGGTACTTATTACTCGATAATTTCATTTTTCACTTATTTTAGAACTAGGCCTCTTGCACAACTTCACTTGGAATTTTTTGCTTGCATCTTCCCACTGTTGGTTAGGACTACAATTGATCAATCTCTTGTTGGTATATATACATCCTGTGTGAACTGCCTTGATATTACCGTTAGTCACAAGTTTATTAAGCAAAGATGTATAGTGGCTAGCAGTAGAATGAAGGACACGCGTTTCATCCTATTTGACACCCGTCGGTTGGATGCTTTTAAAGCTTATAACGAAACGTAATATCGAGGTTATCTGCACAGGATTCCCATATCCCAAAAAGAGACTAATCAATTGCAGTCTTACACAACAATGGGAAGATACAAACAAACAATACCAGGTGAATTTAAACTTCACTCAATTGCACACAGAGGTGGCTATCAGAACTGAGTAGCTAAGTGGATAACGCTATGGCATTTGAAGTGAACGTTACTGGGTTCGAGTCCTATAGGGATCATCAACCCTGAGATGCAAGCACATCCAGCTGATGAGTCTCGAATAAAACAAAACGCATGTCCTGAACTTTATTTTTATCCATCATCCGTCTTTGCTTATTAAGTCTCTCATAGATAGAAAAAAATTCACAATATTAGCTACAATTTCCAGTTATTATTTATCTATGTGACTCTCTCAGATAGGTTTAAGCTCGAAGATAATTTTCGTCCTAGACGTGCATCAGTTCTTTCATTCCATTATGTAAACTGGTTGAAGTTGACTGATTGAACTACTGAGTTTAATCCTATGTAGAATGATGAGTAAGCACTAGTGAAGATTGAAAGACTAATAATGACAACAACGTATAGGTTCTTGACCATTACACCTTTCTCAAAGGATATCAGTTTGTAATGTAAAATTATTGACAAATTGATATTTATGTTACAACAGTGTATTGAGAAGGTCGAGTTATCTGTGTTTATTTGATTGAATCCTTCTATAAATTCTTTCAAGAAATGAACAATACTGATGACTAAATTCACTTGGTCTTGTTTACTTGAATCTTCCTATTGATGTTTAGCAATGCAATTGATCAATCTCTTATTAGCATATATGCATACTGTGAAGATTGCCTCGATATTGCCTTCATTCACAAACATTATAAGCAAAGATCGATAGTGATTAGCTGTGGAATCCAGAACTTAGTAGCTAAATGAATAACGCAATGGTATTTGGAGCAAATAGTACTGGGTTGGAGTCTTAGAGTGATCATCAACTCTTAGATGCAAGTATATTCAGCGGATGTGTGCCAAATAAAACGAAATGGCTCACATCCTACATTCCACTGTTAGTCACTATCCAACTACTATAAAGTTTACCTTCAACTAACTAAACATGAAAATTGATTTTTATCAATAATAAAGGTAGTAAAAGGTTATACATCATAATACCAAAAAAAAAGGAAAAAAAAAGAAAAAAATTAATGATTCAAACCTTCTTTACGCATTCCAACTTGTATACATTTTTGAAAACGACAATATTGACATTGATTACGATGATGTATATCAATTGGACATTGTTTATTACCACGACATGTATAATTTAATTTACGTCTTACAGAACGTTTAAAAAAACTTTTACATCCTTCACATGTATGTTGACCATAATGTTTACCGCTACTTTTATCACCGCATACAACACATTCCATTAATTGATTTGTTTTTAATTGAATTTCTATATTATAATTATTAAATTGTTGTTGTTGATGTTGATGTTGTTGTACTCGTTCTTCTTCTTCCTCTTCTTCTTCTTCTTCTTCTTCATCTTCTTCTTCCTCTTCATTATCTTCTTGTTCATGATCTAATTCATAATCTTCATCATCGATATTTGAATATTCATCAAATGGTTTTTGTTTATGATGATTATGATTAGTATTATTATTATTATTATTATTATTATTATTTTGAATCAGATTATTGTCAGGATCACGATCATGATTATTATCATAATCAATATTTGTATGTATATCTATTTGATTTACATTGTTGTTAAGAGACATTTGTATGGATTTATTATTATGATTATGATTATTATCGATTATCGATTGTTTGTTCCGTTTTTTTATTGATTTATGATATTTTAAAGATTTATCATATTTATTAAATTTTGAAATGATTTTTGTAGATTTACATGTTTTAACATTAAATTTATCATTGAAATTCATAAATATGTTAGGAGTATCAATTATCGGTATTGTTGAAATAGAAGTAGTATTAGTTGTAGTAGTAGTAGTAGTTATCGTCGTCGTCGTTGTCGCCGTCGTCGTTGTTGCCGTCGTTGTTGTCGTTGTCGTCGTCGTAGTAGTAGTAGTAGTAATAGTACTAATACTTTTAACATTAAAGTTATTTTCCCCATTCAAATGTTTTGTAACTTTAAGTTTTGAATAGATCTGTTCATTATTATTAAATGATTGATAATTATATAATGAACTATCATTTTCTCCATTATTATTAATCATTGTTAATTGATTATAATTATCATTAGTTAAAAATACTTTTGTTGGTCTATTCAATTCATAATGATAATTAGATTGTGAATGATAATGATTCTGATGATCATGATCATGTTGGTGATCATGATGATCATCATGAAGATCATGATGATGACGACGACGACGATCATGATGATGATGATAATAATAATAGTAATAATCTAACCATAAAGAATTACAATATGAAGTTAATTGATTCGAAGTAAACTCTTGATTATTAAAAGGAAATTCTCGTTTATTTAATAGATTCATATTTGTACTTAAATTTATTGGTAATGGATTAAATGCAGATAGTCTTTTTTTATTTGTTAAATTATCTATATTTGTAATAGGATTATGTTGATTTGAATATGTATAAGAGGTTGAACAATTCGTTGTATAAACTGATGTAGATATTGTAGATATGAATGAAGATAGAGACATTGACGGTGATGATGATGTCGACGACGACGATGATGATGACGACGATGACAATGAAGAGGAAACTAAAGAAGATAGAGAAGACAATGAATAATTACAATTGTTTTCTATTCCCCATAAATGTGGAAATAATAAGTCCGGTGGTGGAGGTCGTGGGATAAAACTTGATGAATAATCACATTTTCTTGATTCATTTGGTGTTGTCATAATGATGTAATCTTTTCAAGAAATATATATTTTTAAATGAGCCATATAATATTAGTTGGATATTATTTGAAATAAAGACTGTTATTAATAAATTGTCTTTAAATAACCACATATATGTATACTCTCCCTCTTCCTCCCTCTCTCTCTCTCTCTCTCTCTCTTCCCACTTGGATTTATTTTATAAAGTTTATTCTACTGGATTGGATCGCGATCTTGGTGATAAAAGACATACAAGGGGTGAATAAGTGGTTAATGATAATGATGTTATGATAATCCATGGTATTAGACACATGCATATATATATATATCCAGGCCTGAACAAAAAACAGTATTCAAGTAGAGAAAATCCCATAGAAACATTTTTCTACAATGTATGTCTGTGTATATATGTATATGACTGAAAATTATCAATATTTATAATGTAATCTATTATGTTTCAGGTGGATATAGTCGAAACCTTTTACCGATTATCTGAATAACATACCGATTAATTCGTTATAATCTTATTTGATCACCAGTTTCTTTCTTTCTTTTTTTTTGTCTTCTAAAGTTACCCCTGGTTTTAAATAAATATTGAGACTACTATTATTATTAGTAGTAGTAATAACAGTAGTGATACAAATAATAGTAATAGTATTATACCGATATTGCCTTCTCAGAAATGGCAATAATATTTAATGTGATAATCTATCTTATATAATTCCTGCTACAACTAACATTATAATGAGATTGTTTTCAGTGTTGGTGATGGTGACGATAATAATAATGATGATGATGATGATTTCAGTAGTTAACTGGTAAGGGATGAAATACCATAACAACAATACAGATGGGAAGTATTATATGACTTCCAATCATATTCAAATTAAATGTTACAATGTCTTGACCATAGGGCAATAATAAATGTGAGATAAATAAGGCAGAAATTTCTCTACTGAATACATGTATGTTTGTATGCATATAGGTATATATGTATATACATACGTATCTCCCTTTCAGTTTATCCTTAACTAATTCTATTTTGGTAACTAAACTAACCAACTAGTCAATCGGTCAACTTAGCTAACCACTAAGATTTAACTATGATTTTTCTTATCTTTCATCTTCTTTTTTTTTTCTTGTAGTGAAAGATATAATAATCATGACATTAAACTATCAAAAGGGGATTTTAAAAAAAAAAAACAAGCCAATGAATAACATATTCAATCTTGATATTCTAGTTTGTAATGTTGATTACAATAGAAGAAAATCAAAAAAAGAATATTATTGTTACTCACAATAGGACAAAACGGCTGTCCAGTGCTTCAAGTTGTTCCATAGTAGTCTAGCTTCAATTGATTCATGATCTCAATTATTGAAATTATTGTTACTCATTGATCAAGTTTACAATTGATTATATGACGTCTAAATCAAACGAAGATGTGATATTGATCCATGTAATGAATAATTTTCATAGTTGAAATTGTGAATCGATTTAAATTAGAACATCATTTAAAACCTAAGTCCATTGGATCAGGATTTTATCCTGGTATAAGACTCTGAAGTGTATATCCATGATCCTGCAAGCGAGACTTGAACCTAGGACCTTCAGCTTTGCACGAACACTTAACTTCTAGACCACCAAGTCGATATCTGACGGTTTTAATGTTTCACATCAATTAATATATGGTCTTGCGCAACCATTTATTCATTACCTGGGGGGGAGATAAATGTTTCATACTTGATATGGATTGAATTCTAGTGGTCTGAGTTTTGTTGGTTCAGACAGACTACCAGATTAAGATTCTGAAGATAACTGTGATCAGTGGTTAGAAATTGTACATGATATGTTTCAGAAGTGGGTTACAATGATATAGATCCATTCATTTCTATTGCATTACGTAATATAAACAGAGGTTTACGTAAAACAATTATTATTTCATTGACAATCGACGAACAGTATAGAACAATATCATGGTTTCCCGAGTAAGGTTACATGATTGTTGGTGTAAGAATTACTGAATATTTATTTTGTAAAGACAACTACTATTGAATTATACTGGAAGGTAACTCTATCATTGTTTAATACTTGTGATAGTGTTGTGCTCTCTGTTCTATATAGTTTAATAATGAAGTTTTTGTTATTTTTCTAGATAACATCCGTAGAAACTTCAGATAGAGGTGATCTATTGAAATTCCCCTATATATCATTTATTCAGTCGACTTTGAATTTGGCCGGTTATCTTTTAATTCTGTGTATACATATCTTAATTTATATCAGTTGAATATTGAACACCTATTGCATCTCATGTTTGAACTCTGGCAATGCAGAAATATGAGCTGTCTAGTTAACTCGAGTCGATCAGTTATATAAACTATCTTTGATTTAATCAATTTACATAAATGTAATGAATGAACCTTAATATCATTTATATCTTTAGAGTTTTATTACGATGAACTGAAATAACAGTCAAATTTACCAACCAACAACAATTAGTTTCATTAATTTTCTCCGTATACTTTCAATAAATAATGAATTTCAGTGGTTGAGATCATGAGTCAGTTGAAGCTATACCACCATAGAAAACCTGGAAGCACCAGACGGCCGTTTCATCCTATTGTAGGACTCCTCAAAAGTGCGCATCCGTGACCATGTCTAACGGGATTCGAACTCAGAACCTAACTAATAAATTAGTCAGAGTAAACATTTAGCCAACTTCCTCATATTTTACGATCACGTAGTGGAGACATGTTCAAATTATGCACTATCTGAATCGATTTAAGTAGTCAATTAATATAAATCAACCTGATATACACATATTTAAAGTGTAACGCATATTCGAGTACTAGACTTGACTAATGAAATACATAATAATTAACAAGACTACATCAGAACATATTCTTGAAAAATAAGAAGAATATCAATAGTAATGTAATAAACAAGAACACCAGTGGGGACAATCGAATGTATTTGAATAAGAAATTACAAAACATTTCACTAAAATTTGAGAACAATACAATGAATACTTGCAAAATATCAATTCACTGTTTCAGACTTCACTGGTCCTGAATTTTCATATCAACTGCTTTCCGTTCCCGTTCTTTTCTACTCGATCTTCCAATGAAATATATTTTATTCTTGACTATGGCTATATACTACTTATGTGTATATCAGTAACTCATACCACACTAAGATAAAGTTATATTCAGTTGATAGGTTACAAATAGGACAAAACACATTTCTTGAATTCTTCAGCTAGGCGCTATCAAAAAACGGAAAGAAAGAACAATGGTATATTTCAATCATGAAACATGAATGACCTTAATTTACGTACGGTAGTATCAAAAAAAAGTTTCAAACCATTATTATGATCATGAGGGACATATTTATCTTTCATACCACTACGGAAAATAAACACCCGTTCACATCATGGATTTGCATAATTTTTTTTTTAATTTTAAGAAACTACTAACTAATCATCTTTAACACTAGTCCCTACTAGTTCACATAATACAGTTTCATAAATTTTCTTTGTTTTCAACAACATCTATTTATGTTATAAGTAGAGATAATAGTGGTTAGCAGTAGAATCCGGAATGTGGATTTCGTCCTATTTGGAACTCATCAGATGGATGTACCTACATCTTAGAGTTGATAAAACGCTTTGAGACTCGAACCCAGTATCATTCACTTGTGAATTAAAACAATATCAAAGTAATCCATACAAAATGAATATATTCCAATAAGTTACTGATTAATTTTAATCCTAAATATCGTAAACAACCAATGAGAAAATGAATCTATTTATATATTTAGGAAAATTTTTAAAAATCCAAATTCACTTCGGATTTTTCACTTGAATTTCCCCATTGGTTTCTAGAACTGTAATTGATCAGTCTGTTATTGGGACATATGCATACTGTACATATTGCCTTAATTCACAAGCATTATGAACGAAGATGGATAGTAGCTAACAGTGGAATCCAGAACGCGCGCCACTTCGTCCTATTTGAGACTTGTCAGATGGATGTACCTGCATCTCACAGTTTATATCACACTCTAGGATTCGAACCCAGTACCGTTCGTACCAAACATCGTTTCGTTATCCACTTAGCTATTGAGTCCCGGTAACCAATGCTTGTGCAATAAAGTGAACCTTAATTTCACTTTGTATTCTTTGTTTGAATCTTCCTATTGATGTTGAGGACTGCAATTGATCAGTCTCTTATTGACATATGTCCATACTGTACATATTTCATCGATATTGGCTTAATTCACGAGCATTATAAGCAAAGATGGATAGTGCCTAGAAGTAAAATCCAGGACACATGTTTCATCCGATTTGCGATTCATCAGTTAGATGTTCTTACATCTCAGAGTTGATAACACACTTTAAGATTTGAACTCATTACTGTTCACTTCAAACATGATCACATTATCCACTTAACTACTGGATCAACGTGCGATGTTTTATGGTGTAGGAGTAGGTTGGAAGAAAGCTAGGGGCGGCCAAACCAAAACATGGCGAAAATCCATGAAGTCACTGACAAGAGGACTGAGCTATGTTGTTAGGTGTAGACTACCTGGTTGGGGTCCGCGAGACGATAGCAACCGATGATTATAAATCTTGAATGACATGGCTCAAAATCATTTGCAATGGCTCAGGTGTATTCATTCTTTGTGTTCTCCCAGATTCTAATCTTCTGAATTATTCATGTCCTTTATTTTCTTTCCAAAATTATTCCACTAGATTATACTCCTTAAATAACATCATCAAACCCTAATCTTCCCTATTACTACTTATACTATCATTACCTCTACCACTATGGGATTTGTATAGATAACTGAATCTCTATGCTAATGTGGTATGGTAACTCGAACTGATGTACGTACGTACGAAGTTCCACGTTGTTACTGACTGACTGAACTACTAAATCTTAATAACTATTTGCTTATGCAATAAGTTGAAGTATAATTTCACTTCTATCTTTTTATATAGAAAAATAACCTAAGGCTATCT